CTCTCTCTCTCTCTCTCTCTCTCTCTCTCTCTCTCTCTCTCTCTCTCGCTCCCCGTCTAGTCGATCGTTTAAATAATATGCATCTCGGCGACAGTTGAATTTTAGCACATTTTGTTTGTTTCTTCTTTCGTTACAATATCAGTTTTTTTTCTTCTCTGCTTTGCCTTGCCTTGCATTATGCTAATAATGACCTGGACCATTAGCATGAGAAATGAACATTTCATCGTTGCATACACAATAATTCCAGTGCATATGCTATCATTACTTTGGCTCGTCGTCGTCATCGGCAGCAAACATGCATCCACGATCATCGCACAAAGGGCATTGCATTTTATTCTTCTTTTATTAAATCGATTGCTAAATGATATGAAAGAGTGTATTCAGTTGTTGCTGTTGTTGTTGTGTTTTTTTCGTTCATCTTTTATTTTCATCGCTCGGCTCGCTGGACATAGTCACTCTTTCTCCTTCACATACCGTTATTATTATTTGTTTTCAGCAACCGTTTCATACTCACTTTGCACACTCGCTCGTTCGTTCGCCCGCTCATATATCCAGTCCAACATATACACCGCATAATCCAGTGCATATAATACAGTTTCGCAAAAGAAACGAGACGAAGAGCAGAGAAAAAAAGTCGTGCACTTTTCACAAAATATTATGCTTCGAGCATTTTGTAACAAAGTGCGTTCGTATCTCATCACGTCGTCGTTTTGCATGCTACAATTGATGCACACACGAAAAAAGAAAGAAGAAACAACAACCAGCAACAGCACAAGCACAAAAAACAGCAACACTGTTGAACAGAAGAAACAATCTCAGTGCATGTATGCTTTTTGATTTGAAATTGTTCGCACATTTACATTGTGAATAAATTTTCTTCTCACTTTTTGCGGTTCGCTGGGCTCAATGCGCTCGCCTCTGTTCGGCAATATGTTTTGGAATGTTTCACATTTTTTTTTTTCCTCTCTACAACCATATTCAGCTCTTGGTTGTTACGCGCGCGCCGCCGCCACAACCACTACCACAGTTGTAATCGATTCGATAGCCGTGTGTATGCTCGCACATTATAACAGCAACAGCAACAGCAGCAACCATTTGAAAAATGGCAAAATGAAGAAACAAATTATTTCAAAAATTTCATTTCAGAGTAATAAATTCCGTCGATCTGGTCCTCCCACATGGGAAATTTTCAATTTCAATCGAAAATTACCGCAATCACACAACACTACAGCCGGAGTAGAGAGTCACATTTCAAAGACTCTCTCGCTCGCTTGCTCGCTCTAGCTTAGCTCTCTCGAGCAAAGTGATTTATTAATTCGATTCAAATAAAATAGGAGTTTGAAAAAATCGAGAAATAAAATGCGGCGAAAGAAAAGCGCTGTTCAAGCACTATTTTCACAGTCATTGACATGATCTGACTGTTTTTTTTTAATGTATATTCATTCCAAAATTAAAACACTCACTCTTTGCTGTTATGCTTTTTCGAATTGGTTGTGTTCGGTTGGGTTTTATTTTTAAGCTTAGCTTGCATATTCCGTGCAAATGGTGAAGGTTGATCCGCCAACTGAACTGCTTTAGCAATGCAAATCGAAATGCAGATACTGCTATTGAATGCAAGGATTTCTCTCCCACAAACCAATAAACTTATCAAACAGCAGCGGTAGCAGCAATCAAAACTGAATTGAATCGATTTCGAACAAAAAGAAATGAAATGAAAACGAAACAAATGAATAAAAAAAGCCGCATTGAAATAGAAAAATTTCACTTTTTCAATTGCGATTTGGTTTTTGAAGAAAAATCAACCTACCACATATCCAATTGCAGTTCAATTTATGTCCATATTGAAGAAAATAGGCGAAGTAAAATAGGTGAACAATGCGATCATTTGGATGTTTTGTTGATATTTGATCGTCGAACGTATCGAATGTTGGTGTGAATATTTGAATGTAAACACCAATCAGTCCGTTCACAAAATGTCGCAGACAAATTGAATTGAATCGATCGAGAGAGTGCGAGCGAGCGAATATATTTGACGCGTTCTCATACAATGCCCTTGAACGTTATCGTCGTCATCGACACACTCGTGCAACGTTTGCCGCGACACATGTCGTTGTTTGCGAATGTGAAATGCTTCGACACACGAAGCGCGTTTTAGAAGACCGAAATGAAATCGAAAAACAAGCGCAAAATTATTCGAATGATTCGCAACAAAAGCAGACAATGTGAATAGAAATTTATCACTCAATGTTGACTATATGTACTTCACCTTTGAAGCGGCTGACAACCAAAAGCATCGTCAGTGCCGGAACAGTGACGAACAGAAAAAACAAAATCACAACAAAAAAACATGCAAAGAAATGAAGCGAGAGACAAGAGGTATTGAGAATTCGTATCTGACTGGAACTGGAAATAATAGATCTGACTCTGAAGCAGTATATTACATTTCATGTCATTAAATGGGCACTAAAACTGTAGTTATTGTCATATATTATATTTTGTTGACAGTTTTGTGTTTTGTGCGCTTGCTTAGAGACACGCGTGCATTTCAATCTAATGCTGAACTTTGACAATTGAGCTGATGTTTTTTCAAGATGTCTGTTATCTATAAAATACGTTGTGGCCGCTTGCTCGTTCCTTTTTTCTGTCTCGCTCTCTCTCGCTCGCTCTCCCTTCCTCACTCAGTATGTCGTTTTATAATAAATTTTGCTGTTGTTTGGCCTGAAGTGATTTCTGTTTTTGCTGGTTCGGAAAAACTGACCAAAACTGGTTTACATGCGCAATGCCCATTACTAAGACTCAAGAAATTCTGCATAAACTGTTTCATTTGTCGTACAGTCAATTTTTGGTTGATCGATTCGTAACTCAATTTAGAACAATTTCTTGTTGCTGTTATATTTGTCAATGCACTTGGGTTTCATCGTGGGCTGGATTGAAGCAGTATAAATGCCATGTCTATTTTTAAGTACGTATTTGCATTCAGTTGACCGACACGTAAATTCACCGAATTATAAATAACACTGAAGTTGATGAGCACACCACCTCATTGGCGTTTCGAGAGTGAATTGAAATAGAATGTAAACAAAGCGCACTCATCAAAGTTCATGCAAAAACTCGTTGATGTATTTTTGGTGGTGTGTAATCTCCTGGATTAAAATTGTCTACTATGTACGATTGGGTATTTGTGGGCTGCCACTTGAGCAGTATACGAATATTGATTAAGCATTACTTTATTCATATTTCGTTGCTTCAAAAATAGCTTCAATCATATTCTTACAATTATCCGAAAATAGGATATAAAATCCATTGGAAATTCATGTGCTGACATCAGAACCGCCTCCACCACAAAATCTCCAGTGACTTCTAAGAGCCGCACACGCAATTCTCGGATAAAAATGCGTTTCTTTATCTTTTTAATTCCCATCTGCTGTAGGGCTTCGGTTTGGAAAGAAAAAAAATAGACAGCTTTACGTCCAGACCGTAAGATTCCGAGAGAAAGTCGTAAAAAAGGTATTGCGTACGATTTGCATATGCTAAATCGCACATATGAACCAAATAAGAAGCAAGAAGTCTTTTTCCTTTAAATGTTATCAACAAAGCGGGATTTTTTTTCTTCCCGTTGTGGATCAGTTCATTCGTGTTTCGGAGCTCGTACATTTTGCACAAAAAGGTTATCGCACATTTGACTTACACAAGACAGTGTATGCATACATAATTGAAGAATTCGGATTATTTCACGTCTAACGGTCAACCATTTCTTTTCCGTGTATGAATTTTCGTTTTTTTCGTTCGACAATGCAAAAATTTCATCGTCAAAGATCATTAACATACATTGCCTACCGCCGCGCAGTTAAAGGTGATTCAGTTTTTATTCCGCTCTCGCTCAATGTTACAAAACAAAACGAATCGAAGCCTATAATAATAATGGAAACTGCCCAATACCTTTGGCTGGATCGTTTTATGGGTTCCATAATTCGAAATTCGTCAAGTTTTTTTTGGTGTTTCGAGCATTTGCACATCAGACCACATTTTGGTATGTGCATACAATAAGCCTACTGAATTTGGCCCCACACAATTGTGTGTGTGTTGTTCATGATTCGAGCAGCCGTACAAAATGTTGTATCTCTGTTGCTGCTGGTTAGTTTTTTTTTCGGGGCAGCCCAGTTTGGATAGTTTTCTTTTTAGTTTGTTGTGATTTTTGACGGGGGATAAAAGCCACACACCGAAGCAGCCGAAGCAGTCGCAGCAGCAGCAAAAAAATCACAACTTTCACTTTCTGTGCACGGTTTTGTGTGCATGGCAAGGCTACGGTATAATTTGAAATTCGGCCAAAATCGAATTTCTCACCGATTC